GCGGGAGCTGGGCCTGTTCAGCCTGGAGAAGAGAAGACTGAGAGGAGAGCTCATCAATATCTACAAGTATCTGAAGGGAGGATGAGGCCAGCCTCTTCTCCGTGGTGCCCAGCAACAGGACAAGAGGCAACGGGCACAAACTGAACCACAGGCAGTTCTGTCTGAACCTGAGGAGAAACTTCTTCACTGTGAGGGTGACAGAGCATTGGAGCAGGTTGCCCAGAGAGGTGGTGGAGTCTCCTTCGCTGGAGATATTCAAAAGCCGTCTGGATGTGATCCTGGGCAATATGCTTTAGAGGACCGTGCTTGAGCAAGGGGGTTGGACTAGATGATCTCCAGAGGTCCCTTCCAAGCTAAACCATTCTGTGATTCTGTGATTCTGTGAAAGTTGGACCGTAACCAGGAATAGGAAGTAAAGTCCAGGGAAATGCACAAGAGCAGCTTTCACAGTTAAGTGAGCCTGATCACATGGCTAATGACTACATTACAGATAGCCAATGAAGCCACAGCTATCTTAAGATCCTTTTGAGATCTGTGATAAACATACATGTTCGGAGGCAACTCTTCCGAAGGCCAAAAAGTACCTTCTTCCTTTCCATGGCTGAGACAGGGAGGGTCATAGCGGTGATTAAGTTGTCTATTTGCAAATAGTGCTCTAAGTTTCCCCCTTGGAGCCTTAGGCCGATCTAAGCAATGGATAGAAACGCTTCCAAAAGGCCCCATATTGCACTGAGCAAATTTGTATTCTGCAACAACATTGTAGACTGATTATATACCAAAAGGGTTGTCTTTAAATCTGTGTATGAGCATGTGTGTGTGTGCAGGCGGATGTGCAGATGCAATTTAGTCCCTTATTTTGAAGGACCAACAGGAAAAGCTGTCAGCAACTTACTGAGGAATTGAAGAGAAAGTGAGAGTTAATTGTTAGCATGAGAGGGTCACCTGCTTCCTGGATTGTCTTGTGATGAGACCTAGGGCTTGGGCTTGATCTCTTGGGCTTGATCTCAGGGCTGAGCTCAATAGCTTAAAGTTACATCCGGGTAGACATCTCCATTGTCTGCTTGCAGTCAGAAAACGTAAGGGAACAGCTGAAGGAGGGAAACATTTGCATACAACAAATGAGGAAAACGGGCTTAAAGCATGTTAAGGGAAATATTTCAAAAGTGCTTCAGAGTCATTTACTAATTTTTGGTTACAGTGCTTTTGAAAGTGCCCCTGTAAGCAACTTGCCTCATGGTTAGACCAAGAGTTTGAGAAAAAAATTGTTTCTTTTTTTTTTTTTCTTTTGATTCTCAGTTCCAAGCCATAGCTACAAGCCAGTCCTCCCTGCACACATGGTACTATTATAGGTGAGGTTGCTGCCAGTGAACTAAATTGCAGTTGCGTGTATTTATTTTATATGCCACATCTGTTTAAGTAAAGAAAGATTTACATATGTTTAAAAAAATACTCTGAATCTGTCACCAATTTGCCTTCCTTGCCTTGCCACAAAGCCCAACATCTAACACTAAGCAAAGGGACAACACTGTTCTATTAGTTACTACAGGCAAAACAGCAGGCAAGCTTATAAACCCAGCATGAGTCCTCCAGTAAAAATTCTCCGTCTTTGTGTGATAAATGATCAATTTTTCCATGATGCAATAAAAACAAAAGTATTTAAACTGTCCTCTCTTTCTTCAGTGGTTGCCTGGTTTGCCAAAGCTGTGTGAATGCTTCACGGGGTTCAAAGCCAGGGCCTTGCAAATGTGTGGTGTGGTTATGCTTCTGTTTAAAAAAAATATGGATAATTCTCACTTCAAGCACACTTGATTTCTTTCAACCCAAGGCCATAAAGAAAATAAATAACTTGCAAGAGTCATACAAATAATTTTAAAATAGGAAGCCTGTTCCCTTTTTCACATAACTTTTTCCAAGCTAATCACTTAGAAGGTAATGGATGTGCAAAAAGATCCAGGAGGCCTACACAGTTGAATTATTATTTTTGATTTGTCTCAGAATGGTAGAGCTATTTCGCATAACAGAAAATGACTACCGCCCTCTAGACTTTTTACCTACCATTTCACCTACCACTAGCAGCCTCACACCTGTTGTAGCTAGTTTCTGATCTGATAAATTAGATTTGAATATTAATTGATTCCAAATGTCCCACATAACATGGAGAAAGGAATGCTTACTTTCCTAATCACTTATTTCTGGGAAGGCTGGCACACTAACCATCTAATAACATTAACAGCCTTTTCCTTTTTTTTTTTAAATGCATTTACAAATTATCACTTCTTTTCAGGTAATGTAAAAGAAATTTAGTTAAACTAGAGAGGGAAAGAATAAATAGCTTATTTGCCATGAAAGATTCAGAAAGCTGTTGCATGCTTGAAATCGATAATATTCTGCTCAGCAAGGTGCTGAGCATTTCCTGATATCTAGTTCATCGCCAAAGAAAGGAGACTGAATTCTTGGTGCAACCAAAAGTAGTGACAATCAAGCACCTAAATATTTCTGCTGATCCTGGTCTCCTGCCTTTAGGTTTGGGCATTAGGGCCAACAGCCAGTTGAATGATGACTTGTTCAAGCTTGATGAAGGAATCTTTATGCATTTCTGTGTATGTGTGGCTTTAAAAAAAACAATACAAATTATAGTTTTCTTTATGTGGATATTAAACATTCTGGCATATTCTTCCCAAAATGTCATTCCATCTCTGAAGGTGTCAGGACACTTCTCATTTTGTGACCTGGAATGCAGTTTGGTGATGAGTGATGTTATTTCAATTTGTCTGAATACTTTTGCAACCTTCCACAGCAGTAGCCCAGTTTCATGGGCCGCTCTGAAGTCATTGCATGACCATCCATTCTACAAATGCCATCTACCCTTGAGACAAGCAAAGTCAGGGTCTTTCTAGATCCTTTTTTCAAGGAAGGGGTCATGAACAGCATCTGCAGAAAGGCAAGTGATGCACCTGAAGGTCCAGCACCCATAAACACTTCAATAAGTAGCTTTTGTAACATGTTATGTTCTGCTTCATGGATAGAAATACTTTTTTCAATGTACATGGATAAGTGTTTTAGCCATCAGCCTGTCCTGAAGGCCTGTCTGTACAACGCTGTAGTTGTAGCCTGTGGGTTAAATGCAGCAGGCTGAAAAGGGTGCTGTACACCCTTTTCTGGTATTCTGAAGGTTAAGATCCTTCATGTCCCATTGAAGTCAGTGGTAATATTTTTCGTCAAAATTTTGTTTTCCTCATTTTCAGTCAGCCCTACTGGAAGTCTTCCAAGACTCAGAGGTGTCTCAGACTCATCTGCACAGATATTGAAAAAATAGCCTGCTTTATGGAGGTGTTTGTTCATAATATGTTACTATAAGTAGAGACTTTCAAAAACATAACTTCATACTTTATCTCTTAGCTAGATGGCTTCGTGAACTAATTGTATCTCAGCATACCCAGGACCAGGATCCTGGAATAGTAGAGCAGAATAAAAGATGTGTTCTATCTTCCACACACAAATTCAAGAGAAGCAACCTGATAGGTCAAAAATGATAATTAAAAAGGTAGGGGGAAATTATTTTATCTGTATTTTTAAGGGGTTCTTTTTATTATTTAATTCTAGATAACTGATATTTGAAAAAAAAAAAAGAAGGGTTAAAACATTAGAAAAGGTGAAAGCAAGCCTGTTTCCAGAAAGCAGCACAGTTCTTCACTGTGGAAAACCCATAAAATGAAAGGAAATGGCCTAACGTGGTAGGTGTTCATTTTTAAGGGTTCTGTTGACAGAAGTAGATGAGTGAAAATATTGTATTTCA